CCTTATCCTACTTTTAAATTTTGTCTTGGGACCCATCTCCCTTAAATTTGAGAACACATGGCACCTATAGCATAGATTGGCACTAGTACTGATCTGTTAGTCACCAGTGCATCCATAGAATTTGTGCTGGTTTTGGTTTTTATTTATTTATTTATTTCTGTTTTGGGTTTCCTCCCCCCCCCCCCCCCCCCCCCCCCCCCTCCCCCCCCCCCTCCCTCACTCACCCTGTAGACCAGGCTGGCCTTGAACTCACAGAGATTTTCTTGCCTCTGCCTCCTGAGTGCTGGGATTAAAGGCCACCACTGCCCAGTTTGCACTGGTTTATTTAGACTTTATTGAAACAATTTTAAGGTATTTCAGGTTTGGTTCCACAATTGTCACCTCCTTCCAACTGAGTAGTTACTCATACTTGGTGATTGCTATGTGAATATTGTTAGGGTCTTCTGCTGTGGCTGAGGTTGTATAAGAGTAATGAAGACTAACCATTGTGTTTGTTTCTGCATTGAAACTCATTGCATTAGGCCAATGTAGTTACTTCAGAAACCTTCCAGGACAAATAGGCAGTATTTAAAAAAAAAAAAAAAAAAAAAAAAAAAAAAAAAGATTTCTTATGTATATAGTATTCTGCCTGCATGTATGCCTGCAGGCCAGAAGAGGGCATAAGATCCCATTACAGATGGTTGTGAGCCAACGTGTGGTTGTTGGGAATTGAACTCAGGACTTCTGGAAGAGCAGTCAGTGATCTTAACTTCTGAGCCATCTCTCCAGCCCAATAGGCAGTATTTTTTAAAAGCTCCAATCACCAATGTCAGTTTTCTACCATGGTGGGTGCTTTAAAAATAATAAACATCATTCTATTTATAGGTAAGGACAAAATTAGACATAGCCCAAATGTTCTAAATGTAAAGGATATAGGATAGCCATAGTGTAGCACATGAGACTAAGCTACAGAAATGAAAATATTAGTCAATTCAAAGTCAGCGATTTCAGGCATGCTTTACTAAAATCAAGGTAGTATTATAATATGGGGTTATCCAAAAAAGTAGCCACGTACTAGGTGTTATATTATCACTTTTTTCACGTAAAATTAATGAGTAAAAATGTGAAATTGCTGGCTGTGGTAGTGCACACCTTTAATCTCAGCACTTGGGAGGCAGAGGCAGGTGGATCTCTGTGATTTCGAGGCTAGCCTGATCTACAGAATAAGTTCCAGTACAGCTGTGGTTATTCAGAGAAACCTTGTCTTGAACCTTCCCCATACCCCCCCCAAAAAAAAAGGAAAGAAGGAAGGAAAGTGAAATTACAGTCCATAGACAGACTACTCTGGCCACACCTAAACTCATCAGATCTCTTAAGCTTAGCAGGGTTAGTACTTGGATGGGAGAAGTGTGAAATTATAACTCACAGCTCTTTCTTTGTACATATCTGTGTTCAATAAAGTTTCCAATTGTCTGTTAACATGAAGCATTTTAATCAAAATGGTCAGAAAGGTCCATAGCCATTCATTCTCTCTGTTTCTATGGACCAGTGCTCCAGGAGGAAATCTGCTGAGCAGTTCTGAGTTAGAGGCTCTGTAGAAAGAGTTTCTGTCCACCTGTTCTCACAGCTATTTAGTCTCAAATAAACACACTGAGGCTTGTATTATAAACTGTTTGGCTGATGACTCAGGCTTCTTATTGACTAGCTCTCTTAATTATTAACCCATTTCTATTAGACATGAGGCTGTGGCTTACCCATAATGCTCCAGCATGTTACGCCTTTGGCGGCTACATGGCATCTCCCTGGCAGCTCCTCCTTGCCTTCCTCTTCCCAGCATTCTCCTAGTCTGGTAGTCCCACCTATACTTCCTGCCTGGCTACTGGCCAATCAGCATTTATTCATCAACCATTAAGAGAATCATATATTCATAGCATACAGAAGGACATACCCCATATCTCCTCTTTTCTGTCTAAATAAAAAGGAAGTTTTTAATTTTAACATAATAAAATTATGTATAACAAAACAGTTGGGCTGGGGAGATGGCTCAGAGGTTAAGAGAACTGACTGTTCTTCCAGAGGCCCTGAGTTCAATTCCCAGCAACCACATGGTGGCTCACAACCATCCGTTATGAGATCTGGTGCCCTCTTCTGGTGTGCAGATATACATGGAAGCAGAATGTTGTATACATAATAAATAATAAAATCTTTTTAAAAAAGATGCAAAGTTAAATTTAAAAAGTAGTTTTATATAAAAAAACAGTTATCAAGTAAGAATTGTAGTTATATTTAGCTCATTTACATTTGGCAAAACTGTCTGTCTTCAACTCCATCAAAGACCCCAGAAGGATAATATATGAACTGTAGAATTGGCAGAGACATCTCACTGCCTAGGCAGTCACCCAAAGTTTCTCTGTAACACTAGGGCATCCATCTTCAGCCCATAGGCCATCGTGTCTGGCAGACTTTTTAAGGAAGCAGGAAATTTGAAGATCTGTTCTATCTTGTATCTGTTCAGCAGTCACTTTCCTGTGGGTCCTCCATGTCTAGTTTGGATAGCATGCTGTCGAGCAGTCCAGATAAGAGCAGTTTCTTGTCCAATAAGCCATTTTTGACACATTGAAAGCAAATTCCATAACGAGTTTTTTGATGCCTGTATTTCTCTGTAACAGAATTGGTATTGCCAGGAGCAATGGTGTCTCATTGTCATGAAAAACCTTAAAAAAACATTTTAAGTGCCATATTCTGCAGGTCTTTGAAGGGTTCAGTAAACCTTTACTAAAGGTGGTTGGAGTTGAAGTGGCTTGGAGATAGTTCAGTATCTCTCCCTCTCTTTGCATAGCTGAAACTATCTTGGTCAGCGTGGGGTGTGGAAGTCTAAGGAGGTCTGAGGAGAGTACTCTCACTTTGGCTTGCACACTGCCTTTCTGTGGTACTCATATGGCCTTTGTTCAGTGCTTGTCAAGGCATGAGATGAGCATCTGTTTTTTTTAATACAGGACCATAGGTCCTTCAAATTAATTAAGATCACAGCTTTGGACCTCATTTAACTTCAGTTGTCTCACAAAAACCTATCTCCCAGCACAATCACATGGGGGTCAGAGCTGCCACAAATGCATTTGATGAGACACAATGTGTCCCATGATACAGGACACATCACGTGGTCTCTTTCTGAAGTTTAACAGAATATTTCTTACTGCATAGCAGATTGGGGTGATAGGCTTCTTTGTGAGGGACTCAGCACTCCAATATGGATGATCCATCAAACCACAGTGAAGCAAACCATTTACATTGTAGAGGTCACCAGTCATGATTTCTACCATACCGCTTTGGGTGATGTTACTTTGA